CCCTTTTTTAGAGTTTGACTTCTTTTTCTTTTTTATTGCTCAATGCTGTAGCAGTTCATAACATTAATCAATTATTTTTGCAGAATGTACTGCCTTGTGTGGTCACTGAAGGCTCTCTTTCTTGGCTTGTGTTTTGATAGTGCTCCACAGAGATTTCCTTGAAAACTATGAGCATTGTGGGTGTTTGGCACATGAGGGAAACAAAATAAAAATTTTTCTAATGTTTACAATTTAGCTCTGTGTTGGTACTTCCCTTCAGCACTAGCTGGTTTGCATTGAGCTGTGGGAGCACCTCCAAGTAAAAGCTTAGGGTCTTCTGTAGTCTTTTCTGAGCAAAAGTCTTACTTGGGCATGTTTGTGGCCTTCTAAATTCTTCCTCAATTGTGAGTACTTTTGAATTTCCCAGAGAAACTCTCCTTTTTGGTATGTCTCGAGTAATCTTTTGTTCTATCCAGTGTAGGTTATTCACCTTACAAAGTTTCAAGCAGTGCCCTCAACTTTTCTACGTAAGTAAGGACCCTTAAATGAAACAGCCAAGCCGTTTGCATCAGTCCCAGTCAGGTTAGAATAGACACACATAACAGTTTGCAAATAAGGTCTCCTTGCTTCTTGTGTAGGTTGCCATTTTCTTGACTGCTGCTGAGCAGGGAAGGGGACTGGCAAGGACAATTAAAGCCACTACAGAAATTTCCTGCAGTTTTTTGGTTGCCTTTTCTGATTTTGCATATTCTTTTTTAAAAAATTTTATTTTTAAATTTTTGATTTGTGCATTATAATTACATATTATCATACATTCATGGGATATAATTTGGTTCACTTCAGTTCCCAGTAACTTCCTCTTTCTATCCCCTCCTCACTTCTCCTGTTCCCCTTCCTCTGCTCTACTGATGTAGCATTTTCTTGATTGCTATAAACTTTTCACTTTTTTTACAGAATTTAATATAGTTGATTATGACAGTTCTGCTTGCCTTAAAATGTTTTTGTCAGGTTTGAGCCTAGTGTTACATATTTTGTATTTTGCTGATATCCCCTCTCTTTTTGACTTATGAACCATTGAAGTGTTAGATATGAGAGTAACTTTTAAGTCAAGCGATATCAAAATTAGAAATGTAGAATAAAAATTATTTTTGAATGATTCTATTTCAAAGTACTTCTCTAGAACCTGTTTTTTTTTGTTGTTTTTGTTTTCCTCTTAGGCCTTCAAATTTCACGGATGTGTCATTACGCAGCTTCTCTCTTTGTTGTGACCTGTTGGGTCAGGTTTGCCAAACAGCAGTGACTTACTGTAAAGATGCTTTAGAAAAGCATCTTCATGTTATTGTTGGTACACTTATACCCCTTGTGAATGATCAAGTGGAGGTTCAGGAGCAGGTAATTTTCTAATTC